CATCTCATAGATTTTAATTGATTTATCTGGAGCAGATTATATTTCAGAGGGTTTGAGTCCCCCAACTGTAGAGGCATTTGGCGGAACTTCAGAATTTTAATCTAATGATATCTAATGGTAGGATTTTTGAGGGAGGTGGTTGTGGGTAGTTTCTTGTTCATTTATCTGAATCTGAAAAATAATAATGGCACAGATTGGCTTTACATTATTGCTTCCTTAAAGTCCTTATTTTCCAGTATACGAATATCATATTTTTCTTTTAAACATGTGGAAATTTTTCTCGCAAACGTGGTTGGCAAAATCTACCTTGCATGCTCGGGCTTTCCTTGTCATGTTTTCATCTTGTAAAAAAATTCATTAAAATCGTAAAATTTGCTTTTCAACAGAGAAACATAAGCCAACATTCTTTCGTGTCATTTTTATATAAAGACACATGTTGTTTCGCTTTACTTAGACCTTTGAGCCTCTGCCATTACCTGTCTCTTCGATCGATTTCTCTTCAGCCAGAACTTGCCATACGTGCAAGTGAAATCGCTGCCGATTTTTTGCCAACTCATTACAAAATGTTCTATTTATACATACAGATGAAAAGATGAATAACTGAAAGCTCTTTTTGCTGTTCTCATAAACTTTGAATCACTCATCCAAATTATTAGTGCTGAAAATAATTCATTAGAAATTATACATGTTTCAAAGGACAAACAAAGATCTTAAATAACTATAAAGCGAGCTTATTTTTAAAAAATTTAAAAAGATTAGCTATTTCTGCATGAGCAACATTAACGTATCAATTTTATCCAAGTGTAATCCATACTTTGTTTTTTTGCAGAAGAAACATAATTATGAATATTTATTTTTAAAAATAGATTTGGAAATTAGTCAGTCAGCTTCAGTACCAGATGAGCCAAGATCGTCATCTAAATTTGTCAAAATAGATGTGTTAGCAGAAATGTCTGTTGTAGGTCCAAAACCTTGTGATGATGTATAAAGTGATGTTCGCGAGTATTTTGATACATGCACTGGCAGATGATGAAAAACCCTTTGAAACTTCATGACCTCATCTTGCTGAACTTTCTCGGGAATATCTAGCCATACAAACAGCTTTGCTGCTGTAGAGAGCAGGTTTTCTATCACAGACCCTGTCTTGAATTCAAAATGACTTAGACCTCTCATGTTGAACATGATATGCATAATTAAAAAATTAATTAAATTTAAATTGTGAATTGATTATTTGGGAATAAATAAATTAATAACAAAATCCACTTCTATATAATGCCTGTTGTGTATATGTTCATATATTATAACGAAAATACATTTTCAGATTTTTAAATCCGTTTTAGCAGCTTTATTCATCTGATTTGTTTGATGGCCAATTCAACTAGTTAAAAAACTGGCAATCTGAAAAAATATGACCAGGCAGTCGATTGCTGCTATAGCCAATCATTTTTTACATAATATATCGGATCACAGGTCTAGTTTTACTTACTATCTTCCCTCATGTGGCGCTCCTGAGACTGGGAGTGAAGACGCCTGCTCATTTTCGGATTAGGGCTAAAGTTTGGTATAGGACCTAGGTCGAAATGGTATCTTCGGATGCCTCACCCCTTGGGAATTTCTTATGATGTAGATTAGAGAGGCTGGAGTGGAGAAAACGCCATTCGCAATGATATACCAAATATACCCAAGCCTTGTGTGCCACAGGTAAAGATGTCTTGATATTTTAAGATATTTTATATTCAAAGATGAAGCTTGAATCATAGCTGGGCTTTCATCTGGCAAAGTAGACATCAATGAGTACATCAAAAATATAGTTTTTTCAGCTGAAATAAAATTCAAAGATTCAAATTGGTCAGCAAGCATATATATTCATCAGTTGGACTTACCAGGTACCATTACTAAAGAATAGAATCTCTATATAAGACAATAAATCAATAAAACGAACTAATTACTGAAACACGCTTAAAAGCGTTTTTCAATAATTACTTACTAAGATTTTAGAAGCTGTTTTCAATAATTACTTAAATTTCAATGGATTATTACTTAGTTTTATGGATTTATTAGATTATAGTGAGAGTCTGTCGTATAGTGTTGACACCAGGTAAGTCCACCGCTGAACAAAGACTCATTCTGGCCATGTTTTCAATTTATTGGCCACTCTAAGAGGTAATATACCTTTAAATTGTCGTAAACGGCTTGAGCGTGGGGTGTTCATGTTTTTTGTCCTACCCAATAATCTTCTTACAACCTTGAGCTATTAAGTACTTTGTTAGTCAAACAAAATATTTTACGTGATTTGTAATCCGTTCGACATGTTTTTAATAAATATATGTCACACATTGAAAATGTAAAAGGTTGAACTAACCATATAGACTGACTATTGAATTCAATTATTAGATAAAATATTGAGTTATGAAGATTGTCATGTTATCCCGAAGATGCTTATCCAAATATTGTCTAATTCGAGCTTGAAATTGGCCTTCAATATGGGGTGAAATTCAGTCTATTAAAATTAGATCAAGCTTTCGTTCCGTTTTTTTTTAATATCTTCTCTTGAACATTCGTATGTTTGATGACACCGCTAGCTAATCGCATTCTTTCCCTCTTCGACGCTGGGATATGGTGACGTCATTTAGTGTCTCGGAATGCACCCTTTGTTTGCATCAATTAATAAGGGGGGTATTGATGATCCTTTAGACAGTAATCTAAAACTGCCAATTATTGATTTTTTCGTTGTATCTAACAAAAACAATGTATAATATGTTTATTGTCTTCTATATCTCTGAAAGAAGAAACCTTATTTAATTAAAGTAAAATGGAAGGGTGAATCACAATATTCCATTCTCCCGACAGCTATATGGATTCTGTTGTTGTGTTTTGACAATATTCATGTCCTTATGTAGATGTAGATCAAACGAGGATCTAGAACAAAATTTCAAGGTCAGGGAAACCATATCACTTCCGCTTTACGTATTGTTTAGGTTGTCGTCTGTTGGCATTACATCGCACACTTGGCGATAATCAGATATACATAATCTCGATTTTGCGATGCCCAATTTGTCTCGTTGTCTTAGTGCTCTTCTGAAGATTGTATATAGAGATTAGGGTGGTTGAAAGGTAACAAGTTACTATTCAACAGAAGGCACTGATAATCGCGTAAAACCTTAAATATTTCCAACTAGAAATTTTTTTTCCTTTCTCTATAGATGTCTTTTCTATATATATATATATATATATATATATATATCAGTGTCTCGTCTGTTAACATTCAAACGCGGATAATTCTGAACAAACATGGATTGGCTTAGTTAAAAAATTACCCATTTCTGAGACAAAGGTACGATTTGTCTAAAAATGGCGCATCTGTCCCTTTAAAATGGACATTCGTGGTACTAAACCTATAAGTCAATAATATTATCATAATATATCGTTATTATTACATAATCATATTTAAATACTAATTTCGTTATTCTTATAGTAATTCCTCTTCCGTATTTAATAATAGTCGACACGCACTGGGTACAAACTATTTTCATACCACTTTGATTAATTAATGGCTCATTATTGTATCATTAGATATAATCTAATATAATAATTAGATAATCATTATTAACCTATTGACCTCGACACTCTAGAATGTTGTTGGGCGTTTAAGCAGACTAACAAAGCCTTAGCCTCATTACATAATAATAATAATATTAATATTACAAAATATGAGTGATATACCTCATTAAAGATTGAACCTTAAGTCTTGTTTGAATGTACAAAATAATTTCAATAGAATTTATATCTAACACACTTATACAACTTTTGGGTTAAATTAATTTGTTCTTTTTGGAGTTTGATTATGTCTTGTCAAAAGTCTATACATTTTCTAAAAAGCTTACAACTCACTTTTATCAGAAAAAGTGTCCGGATTTACAAGCAGTTGTATGCAGCCTGCGGAAAGAATATCGCGCCATTGAATGCTCACATTAGATAATTAATGAGAACAATATTCAAGATCAATAATCTTAATCTCTTATACTTAAAGTTGGGTTCCCCTTATTTTCATTTATGAAAATAAAAATGGTAATAATTATATGAATAGAAAGTAGAGGTGTTTTGATGACTTGGAAAAATACCGGTTTGTCTCACATGTCCATAATTAATTCTTAATTAACTAAACTAGAAGAGAATTACCAACAGAATTCCAATGAGTGACCGATTAAGAAAGGTCAAAATGTCTTTTTTCATTTATCCGGACTGTACATACATGGAAATTTATGATTTGATAAAAATTTTAATTATATGCAATAAGAACATAATGATATGATTAAGAATACATGATAATTCATTAGAAACACCAATTAATCAAATAGTTTGCTTAATTTGACACATTAAAGAAAGAAAACCCATCTACAAAAACTGTACTAATTTATTTGTGTGAATATCATTTTTGGGCGTATTTAAAGGGAGACTACAACTATTTCAAAATATAATCAAATACTTATACAAATCATGTAAATCCTTACATGTGACCAACAATATTACGTTTTGATCAGAACTGCCTCTGTTTTGGATATTGGGGGTTACTGAATTCTGGGAGTAAAAAAAGGAAAGCATCGACTACAAATCTATCAGATCTTAATTTTATTCTAAATCGAAAACACATGTAACAAGTAAATATTGGAGATTCAAAAACTCAAATATGACGCAAATTAATTCAGCTGCGAATATCCGAGTATTCACTCATCATATATTTTTTCTACAACAGCAAATAACAATTTTAAACTTTATAATTTATCTTTATGCAAATTCTATCTAGTTTCAGATACTTTCATCCATTGGTCTTAGTAAATGCACTCTGGATCAAATGCATGATAAAAATCAAATAGTTCAAGACCTTGCACAAAAATGCTCGAGATTCCATAAATTAAGTTACGTTGTTTATTTTCTCTTGTTTAACAGATTGCCTGGTAACGGAATTCCAAAAGAAAAGCTTATTCTGTCTGTGACTTCATCCTTTCAGACCATTCTGAGTATCCACCACCATAATGACGAGAGCTGAAAATTCAAAATACAGCTTGTTTACTATATTTGACATGCATTTTTGGTGGGTTAAGACGATCGAGTAGTTTAATTCGGATTACAGACTGCAACTAACAAGACTGATTAACTCAATCGAAAGTATTATGAAATCAGATTGGCTCTCAGATCAGAATGCAAGTAATCTGTCATCATTTTCAACGATGACATCAGTGTTCAACAGATGTGAACCGAACGTTTGATTTTCATTCTGAGAAATTCCATTGGTAATTACAAGACTATATAATCTCTTAAATTCTCATACATCATTTGTAAGTCAAGAAAAAATAGAAAAACACATCTAATTCAATATATTGAATAAAGGAAAGCCATTATAGTAGTAGCAAACAAGCATACATCAAAACAAGACAGAAAATTATTAAGTACCATCTGAAATATGCTCAAATCCAAGCGAATCCAGCTCGTCATTTCTATATGAATCTAATACTGCGTTTTTCAAAATCATACGTTGCCGTTAATGGAGGGTGCAATAAAGCGACAATGTCAATAGAAATTTAAAATAGATAACAACCAGATAGCATACAATTACTAGAAAATATGCAAGCGCAGCCTAGTAAACTATCTAAGGAAGCCCTTAAAAATAAGCCCTTTAAAAAGCTTTAAAATCTAAAGAAAAGCACCCACTTAATATCAATTTGGAAATGTAAGAACTTTTTAAGGGATTTTCCAAACACGAAACGGTAGCTCCGCATCAGGTCTCACAACTTAATCGCCGTGTAGTAAACTTACTTAATAAAGCCTAGTTCTAAAGCTATTGTTAAAGCCATACTGTTTCGTACTCCTGAACGACAGCTAAAAACCAGTCTGTTGTCTTCAGGTTCACTAATGTCTAATGAATACAGAGCTTGAAACTTGTCAGGTGGCAGAGACAGAGCAGATGATAATTCTTTCACTGGTAAAAGAAGAATCACAACAAATTGCAAGAAAATATTAAGAGGAAATAATGACATAAATACATAGGCGAGGTAACATAACAACCGACTTGTGTGTTAACAAAATAAACGACACGAAGAAAGGTAAAATGACAAACATAAGGCAAGGTTAACATAACAAACGACATGACGAAAGGTAACATAACTAACGACATTAGGCAAGGTTAACATAACAAAGCGACATGAAGAAAGGTAACATAACTAACGACATTAGGCAAGGTTAACATAACAAACGACATGACGAAAGGTAACATAACTAACGACATTAGGCAAGGTTAACATAACAAAGCGACATGAAGAAAGGTAACATGTAAACGACATCCAATTTTGTATCATATTGGGCAATTTTAGTCAGTTGTTTAGCACTTAACAAATGAGTAGGCTGATAATTGTATTAGCGCTATTAACGGAAAGATATAAGAAATACAACGTCCCCGGAAAGTATGTGACATCCTTGTTATCGACAAAACTCACAACATTTATAGAAAGATCACAACATCCATAAAAAGATCACAAACTGTGAACCATTTATCACCAAGAAATAGATTAACAAATTTCTGATAACTGTGCAGAAACCATGAGAATGCTTTTTATTTCCTTTCTAAATATATGCATATTAGTTAGGATAGCCATTAAGCAATGTAATTGAAACATAAAAGATGCTTCAAGATGAACATAAAACATAATACAAGAAAAAGCATACAGTGCATATTTTTTGCACCATATCACCAGAGGTATATTATTAAAGCCTCGGGTAGCACTTACTACTTGTAACCATGATTGTAGGCAATAGCTCGTGCTGCGCTACTTTTAATAGGTCCCAAGCCAACAAATACTATGTTTGCGTCATACTTTTCTGGTTTCGGAAACTTATACTTCTGCATGTAGAGGTCATCTTCCATTTTTAGTGCTTTTTTTAATGTGCCCACTGAAAATATTTCAAGATGTTTAGAGTATAAACCGCTATTTTCATCAGAGTCAATGCTTTAAAACCTTTCATATATTGGACTGAATCAAGGGCAATAATCGAGTTTTTTGTTAAAAAGCATAATTCACGAATAACCCAATCAATGTATCGGCGTAAAATTTACGTTGGAGATCCATAAACGCCTATCCAAATAAAGATTACAGTTCCGTAAGAGGGGCACCTGTACGGGTAATCTTAAAAAAATCGCAAGACTTAGTATTGCGTGATTAAAACATTTGTTTTATTATTAATTACATATTTCTCATCTCAAGGGAAGTAACTCGTGTTAAATAATTTGTACAAAAGAAACATTAATTTGTACAGATTCAGCATTATGCCAAATTGGCAAAAAGATTGGTTAACGTGTTAAAAGTGTTCTGTGCTTCGTGGGCTATAAGTCAAATGAGCTACATGGTTAAATAATAACAACTTACGTGGTATATTGACAGCATTGGGAATGGATCCTTCTTGTTCTATTTCATCTGGTTCACGAACATCAATAATTTGGATGTCTTTACTTTGTATCAATGATCGAAATTCTTCAAAACTCAAACAAAACCCATCATGAGCTGTACAAAGACATCTTGAGGTGGGTACATGTAAGATGGGAATGTGGACTGAAATTAAGATAGTTAGAATAGTCTGGGTACCATGCCGTGATATGTAGTCGGTGCCTTTTAACATTTTAAGATAACTAAAAAATTGGGGGCTTATGATTTGGCATTAACACTTAAGACTAGCCCACTTTTAACATTCTCTTCATCTGATTGGCCACTCATTAAAATTTCTTTTAAATTTAGCTGGGTTAAGCAAATCCATTTCAGGTAAGCATTTGCGAACATCTAGATTATAATTAATTTTTACAGTGTATGCTACTCGGAACCCTATTTCAGATATAAAATTGTGTAAACCTTTTAGTTTTAATGTTACGGCACTTCCGTATTAACAAGAGTAGGCTACATTGTAATAAAAACGCCAATGACTGTCTAAATCAATATGCTTAAGAAGCCAATTGAGGTCCTTTTTCGTCCTGGGATCTACCAGAGCAGAATCAAACAATACGCAAATTAATCACTTACCGTTACTTCTACCAATTTCTTCAGTATGCCTGAATGTTCGAGAAAACGAACAGAGCGATTTGCCGGTTATGAAATTATAAGTGCTTTTCTCCAAAATTCTACCATTCTGTGTTACTCGAATTGAATTATGAACGGCAGTACCACTATTTCTTTGTCCATTTCCAAAATTTCTAACGGCTATCTTGTGTAAAGAAGGCGAAATTTCACCGAAATTGGATTTAAACAAACGAAACCCATTCATGATTTTATTCGACAGTGTTAGTGTGACCTGCTAACAAGGTCATTATCAAGGTCGAGGTCATTTAAAGTTTTATGGAGAGCTGTTCATGACAAAATTAATATAGATAGATCTTTGAAGTATTATGAAATTTCTTCTGTTTTCACGGAAAAATCTTAATTTGTTTAGTACACTCTGTACTAAAGGCTACCAAATTTGCATCAAATTTTGTTTTAATATCTGTTTATCAGACGTATCATACACAAGCCAACGCTTTATTTTTGGGGTTAAAAAAAAATTTCGTCACTATAATTATTTATTGTTATGGCCCCTAACTTTATGGTCTAGAAAAAGGAGGGGCCTATATTGTACATTGATCATATTTGCCAATTTAAAGTTACTAACTGCTTAAAGGTGCAAACGGTCTTGATTGGAGATTTTTGTCTTTTCAAGAATTTCACCGACCAAGGAGACAACAATTTTCAGTCGGTCATTTCCACCGTGTCGATAATCACATTTTTACTCAAGATTCTAGTCGGCGTATCGGTTCGTGTGCCCGCAGCCTTAGTAATACGGAAAAGTTTGTATACGATTTGTAAAAAAGGTTCTTAAACATTAGTTTTTATTGAACATACTATAAAATATCACAAGTAATTGAAAAAAGATATCACAAAAGAAAATGCTTCTAATGAACACAAAATATTTCATTCCATAAACTTTCTTATCAGAAATACATGAAATTGTATCGTCACAATATTCGCCACGGATGTGGTAGCATGACTAAGATGACTATGGTGCCACGAATGTGGTAATATGACTAATGCTCTGACATATTAATATTAATATTAATTCATGAATAAGATACCTTTTAAGCACGGAGTATTCGGATTAACGTCACAACGAAGAGGGTATATATTTCCCTGATCGACAGGCCTACTTACAATGTACTTTCGTTTATAAAAAAACACAAGTTTACATCAAGAACACCAAAATAAATAAGTACCTACATGTATGAAATTCTTGACATTCAATAAGTAGAGAAAAAAAATTAAGAATTAGTTTTAAAATGTTGAAAAGGAGATACTCTTTTAACTTTCATTTGCCATCCTTTCTTCCCATTCTAAAAATCCTCCTCCAAAATGTCTGGCTCTGGAAAAATACACAATAAGTTGCCAATTTGCTAATTTTGTATCGTATCATGTATGCGCTACTGATTCAAATATTAGCAATTATATTTCATTCGAATACGACACAAGTCGGTAAAATTGATGAAGAGGACATGAAATGAAACTGTCAGAAAAAGTCAGTATTCAGAATAATCTACTTTGCCCATATATGACCCTAAAATTACTAAGGCACATGTAATTGACTTTAGGACTGCACAATAATAGTTATAGATTCACCCCTATTGACAGGTTGATGGTTGGTATGTAGATGGCAAATTAACGTCCGCTATATACCAGTCGAAGCTGATATCGCAGGTCATCGACAGTCGACGCATCCTTAAGTTAGGCTGCTTTTTTAAGAAAAAGAAAACTAATCTTTCAGACTTACTTTTTAAATCCTAATTTTAAAACTGTCTCTAAAGCTTCTTCACTACGACAACCAGATCGACAACTAAATATCACATTTACTGAATCGGGATGACTGATGTCGAATTGGTATCTTTCTTCAAATTCTGTTGGTGATTTGGAAAATACCGCCTCGACTTCTCCTACTGAAAAGAAAGTTTTAAACCTGAAATACACCCGCTTCCCCCCTCAGATATAAGATTCTTTGTAGTTATCTTGATGCTTGGTTAACTTCTTAAGATGCCTCCAAACCATAGAGATTAACTGTTGCGTATAGTCGCGAATAATATAAGTGGTCATGAGTTTCGAGTTCAGAGCTCTAGCATGAGAGTTGAGTTGCAAGAGGTGATCGCTATGGTGCGAGGGCACTCGAGACCTCAAGAATGATAAACACAATTACTACACAGGTTGGGCATTTCACAGGACGCAATGTCAAACGATTTCTCCAAATATTAAAAGCTCTAAGTATAACCTTACTTACAAGGAATGTTTATAGTGTTCGGAATAGCACCATCCTCCACCAGTTCCTCTGGCTCTCTGACGTCTATTACATGTACATTATCTTTATTTAACAACTGTTTAAACTCGGTAAATTCCACAACTCTGTCGCTGTCTGCTGATGGTGTATAGTCATCTATACATAAAAACAAAATGATGGTACAGAGCAAGGTTGAAACCGATATGTACCTAACTATCTAGCAAATCCCAGATCAAATGACACAAGTCGATGGGGTAGGGCGAATGGAATGAATGACAAAGCCAGGTATCAGCAGATAGGATGAACGATTTCTGTCCAATGCACTGTAAGCTTCCCGCTGCGATATAATGAAATCACCTATATGAAGTGGTAAAAAAATATTGTTTTATTGATGACCCATGGAAATTACACTGCAATGTTATATTGAAGACATTGGCATGGGTAGGTTAAGATCTACACGTGACACGTTGACGTATTTTGTCGGAAAAAAGAAAATAATAACTCATTATGTATATATGTGAAAAGTTCACGTCTCAAAGAACAAGGAGAAATGAACTATGATTAAATATTCTTTTTATGTGGAAGGATCACTAAAAAACAAGAGAGACATTGATAATAGTTCTAGGCGTCATGAAAAAAATATATATAATTTACCGTCACAATATTCATCATTATCAGGGGAGGTAACTCGTTCGTCTGTATTTACACTGAGCTTGGCATCCTGACAATTCTCTTTATCACAGGTTTCTTGACTGTCGTCTGCATAGTATCTACCGATGAATAGATGTATTAAAAGACATAGAGTCAACGATTTGAACATAGATTTAACCATCTTTCATGGATACCACCTATTGAAGAATGAATACACACAAGTATATATACGCACATAAAGGTGAAGGTCGATATCTACTCGCGTCCTACAAACAAACACACATGTCTCTTAACACGTAATGTATACATTATGGGCAACCAAATACGACAAAATTGGTAACAGACGAAATGATGCTTCACGTGTCAATTGTCCCATAGTAGTAGAGATATGTGGGCAGTGGATCTTTAATTACACCTTGCACCACACTGAGTGAGACATTAATGTTTATATTGTGTATGTTTTGAGATAAGTTATAGTTTTTCTTACCTGATTTGAATATAGTTAGCCTACCACTCGAGTTCGTTTGTCAATAATTGTGTGCCTCTTCCGTGTGTCTCTTAAACCTCGCATGATTTTCCCAAACATATATAAATATAAAGTCTTTGAATGGCATTTAGCAATTGTGAGTACGATATATAGACATAGCTTTATGGAACAACAATCACTGGTTAAAGTTTTATGCAACGTTTCGACGTGTTTCCCCCGTCGTCCTCAGGCACATAATGAGAAGAAGTGATGGGCAAACTATATATACATTAATGCTTATTATTAAGAACACACAAGAGAAAATGGTTTATTGATACATTACATTAAATTTTAATAGGTACAATAAGAGGTATATAATTCTTAAAATAACATACAGGCTGATTAAGTAAAATAATTGAAGTAAAGTAAATGAATTAAAAAAGATTAATTGAAGATTAAATAAACAACTATTGCTAGTATTGAAGTCTTTTATTAATAGAAATTACATTGTTCATATAACTAACTATGCTTAAAGTTGGAAATTGTTTTTGAATATGAATAATTACAAGTTAATAAGTTTATCATATGCATGCGATAAACGAACACCTTCATCTCTGTTAAGGTCAGGCTGATATCTTCTGATGTGGATAGCTTCATGAAGTCTCCTGGTTTTATCTATGTGCTTATTGATTGTCAGTATGTTGGTGTTGTCAAAGTTGACTTTATGTCCTGTTTTCCTTCCCATAGCAAGATGTTCAGCCACAGCAGATGTTCCTTCATTGCCGGGCTTGTCTTGATGGTCTTTGAGTCGAACATCAAGGGGTCTCTTTGTTTCCCCTATATACGAGCTTCCACAGGAGCACTCAACTTGGTAGACACATCCCTTAGGTTTTTGGTTGTTGGAGGGATTCAATTTACCACTGGCTCTGAGCAAATCCTTAAGCGTTGAGTTGCCAGAGAACACTGTTTCAATGCCGACTGACTTTTTCAGGATCTTCTTGATTTGGTATGATGCCTTTCCAGAATACTTTCAACAAGAATTACAATACATCAAGAAAGTATTCTGCTTGCACAACAACTACCCTCCAGCCTTTGTACATCAAGCTTTTCGATCCGTATTAATGGCAA